CCCGGGGCCCCTGCGGAGGGGCAGCCCCAGCACCTCCCCGCCCCGGCGCGTTGGAATTTGGGGGCATTCCCGTGGCACACAACTGCCTTCTGCATTGGAGTGCGCTGCTGGCGGTGTGCGCGCCTTTTCCCTGCGGGTACGGCTGTGGGGGGAGGAGATTAGAAATGAAGCTGTCCCGGCTCCTCTAGCAGGCGGCTTTTGGGTCTGAACAACCAACAACTTCCCCCAAAGTCCTGGCGACATCCACATTTCAACCTTGAGAGAACAGAGCGGCATTTCCAAAGCACCCAAAGAGCCATTTGCAGAAGCACGTTCCACTTAAATGCTTAAAAGCTTCTTTCTGTAACTGCACCATACAAATAATTTGCTTAAATTAAGCTAGCCTGTACATGATTTCTGTTTATAAGAAGGAGAATAAGAAATACAATTTTTTTTGACCAATAACTGCAATATACCAGAGCCTTAGACTGTTATAAATTTACCAATAGAGTTACACAGCTATGAATTCCCTGTGCAGATCAGATATCAGCCAAGGAGTAGGATTCATCTCTCCTACATGCTGTTCTGGCTGCTGCTGCTTGTTGCTTTGGAGCCACTGCTGTGGAGTTTGTCCATAGCGCAGTTATAGCAAATAAGTGAGATGCCAAACACTGACAGCATTTTACAGTTTAAAAAAAAAAAAAAAATCAGGAGTGGTCACTTATTCTGTTGTTTCCTTCAGGCAACAGCTCCGAAGACTATGTAAGAATCCTACAGAATGTCCCGATCACGAGAGCTGCTGCGTACATGAGAGGTCAGTGGGGAGCCCAGTGGAGGGCAATAGTTGGCAAAGAGAGATTGCAGAGCTGGCTGAAGAGCAGGCTGTTCATGTTGTTCAAACTGGTTTTAGTGGCAAATAGCTTTTTGACCAAATGGGCATTGTATAGGAAAAAAAATCCTTAGCTTTCCTGAAACGTGGGTGTGTTTGGTAAACCCCCTGTCTGATCACATAAACTTTTTTTAACTTGATAAGAAAAAATAAATAAAAAGGTACCTTCTGCACACAAACACATTAATATATATCTCCATTATTTCCCTTTAAATACTGCAGAAGGCCATTTTCACTGCATCTCCCTGTCTTGGGTTTCCCAAGGGTTGTGTAAGTCCTTGGAACTTTTTAACACCCCACTTCCATGTGTGAACTCCCAGCCTCCTGGCCAGGGCCTTTTGTTGGAGCTTCCTACAGGAAAACCACTGAACAGGTATCTCCATTTACCAGGAAATACACTGCTGCAAGTCACATAAGGCTGAATTCAGGTCACTAGAGCTCAGCGGCTCATTTTAAAATGTGTTTGCTTTCCTTTCTAGTGTCCAATCCAGTAAACAGTTCAAAACTGAGCTTGGTCGAGAAGGGTATTTGTGAAGACATCCAGTGTAAGAGTGAAGAGCTGGTGATAAAGAAGCAAGGCCTCTACTTGATCTATTGCCACTTGAACTTTCATTTTCCTAACTGTTCAAACAGCCCCATTGATCTCAAGATAGAGCTCCTTGTGAATGACAAAGTCAACAGGCAAACATTATCCACATGGTGCGCATCAGAAACTTGCCAAGAAAAGACTTTTAAGACCTTGTTCCAGCTCCATTTGACATACCTGAATGTGAAGGACCGAATATCAGTAACACTTAATCATCCTAAATTCTTGAATGAAATTTCTCTTCCCAATGACAACGTTCTTGGGGTCTTGAGGTACAGTGATGAAATGTGAGCAGTTGTCTGACTTCCCACTGCTGCCCAGACTTATCTTTCTCTGAACAACAGTAGCCTGCTTTTACTAGGCAACACCTTATTTTAAATTTCCTATCTTACCTCATTGCTAGGGTCAACAAGGAACTTGGTGAGTGTCCCAGAACAAAACCTAAAACACTGCAAGACCCACACCTGACAGATTGCTCTGGTTTGGCTCAGGGTAGGACTGTTGTTGGACTATCTAGTATATAACACACAGATCTGCCAACAGTTCCTCAAAACAATAACTGTGTAAACACAGATTAAAACGTAACTAGATTATGGGAGGAATACACAATATCAAGACTTTTTGGCTAACGGACCGCTGGCAAGGTGCCTGTGCTCAGAAGATGGAGACATCTTTTTCACTGAATTTTATGGAGTAGTAGTTTGATGTGGTCTTTCCAAAAAAACTAACAGTCAAATCTTGTAATTAAGACTTTCTTTACAACTGGAGCATGCAACCACAACTCTGGAGTAGGTTTATGGATAGATCATACAAAAGCAAAGATGATGAAATTATTGACTCTCAGGCTGGTAGCTAAAACTCTGGGACAGTGCATAGGAGATTTGGGACTTACAGGATATTTCTGTGCTGCATTCTGCTATGGACTTTATGCAATTTACTTCCAAGTGTCTTCCTTCTCACTATTTATCCATCTTTTCCATTTAAATATTAAGCTCTTTGGGGCAGAGACTTTGTATATGCACGGTGCTCAGCCTCTGTTCTTACTTGGGGTTTCTAGACATTTTCATAACAAATATTAAAATAGAAACTTAATTGCAAATCTAGCCACATAACAGAGTTCATTACAATACATTTTCCTTGAATCCTGTCCTGCCTGTTTGACAGTACCTTGCATGACACCAGACTACACTGGTGTGTAAATACACCTCTAATGCCTGCACTTTCTGAAAATCCAAGATTTAGATCTGAGGTCCAGACTGTCCCAAATACAATTTCAGACCTGACCCTCAGCTGAGAGCCATGGTCTTTGGGCAGTCCAGAGGATAGATGTTATCAGAGCTTCTTTGGCTTACTGGAAAACTTAGATAATGAAGGGTAAAAGAGTAATCTCAGATTGTTTTTCTATGAATTCAAGTAACACAGGCATTTACTTGAAACGTAATTCTTACAGTGTGGGGAGGGAAGGGACCAAAAAGTTACAAAAGCGGGTACCAGTTCACTCTTTCCTCTTTTCCCTTCATCCCTGAGATCCTACTAAGGTCTATTTTCATTGGTATTCAACTTTTTCCCCTTGTGTACCTGTACCTTCTTTCCTTTACATGACTAGAGCTTGGTGAACTGTTCACTTCAAAATAGTCATAGATTTAGTTTCTGGCTTCAGAAACTCAGTAAGTGTTTTATTTTTCAAGCTTAGTTGATGTTGTCAACGAATGTAGCTTAGTTTGTGTGAGCACACTCAAAATACTCCTAACAATAGTAATTTGTTACTTCTGTTATGTCACCAGAAACTCATAGTATGTATCGGTGAGGTTTCATCCTATTGACCAGGTGACTTCAAAATACACAAGAAACTTTCAAAGGGTCATGAGCAATTGATGTGATTCATTGCTAGAGATATCTACTTTCTGTTTTGATAAACATTGATGAAAACAAAAAATCCCTTTGCTATTAAGGGGCGGGGTGGGAAGAAAAGAAAACTAGATCCATGGCTTCTTTCTTTCTTTTCTTCTTTGTTAAAGAAAAGAAATTTATTTTTATAAGAGTCAGCTTACCCTGCCTATGACATTGTAACCTCCACTGGGATCTCCTCACCCCTCTGGACCCTATGAATCTTTCATGTCTCTGAATAAGGTTTTTAACCTCTATCTGCCTCCACCTCGATACACACGACTAATGCCCAGAGAAGTTTAAGCAAGTCTGGTAGTCAGGAATCATAGCTCCTGAATATAGAAAAGGCAGCTAATGAATGAAAATATGTATTTACTCACACATACCCCCGCCTTTCCCTTAAGGCTTTGAACTAAAAGAGAAAGACCATTCTTTAAAAAAAATAAAGCAGCTCTCTGCATAGGATGATCTTATTCTATTATTTTGCCAGATGGAGAAAATCCTGACAAAGCAGTGCTAAGCTTCTCAGCCCCAGGTTTTTTAATACCACAGGATAAAGCAATCTGGCCTCTACTCTGTTGCCTCTGAGAAATAAGAATAAATTATAGCCATAAAGAAAGCCCATTAATAGTGTGCAATTTTGCTGTCAGTTATAAAAATGTTAGATAGCTTTCACTGAAACAAGGCCCTGAGCCAAGCAGAAGCCCCCACACGTTCTAGCAGACTCCAAGTCACTTCAATCTTTCATCCTTTTTCCTTCTCTTATTTCCTAATTCTTTGAAGCAGGTCATTTTTGACAACAATCCTGTACTAAAAAAAAAAAAAAAAACTCCAGGCTGATCCTTCACACAATGCCATGTCTTTTCAGCAACATCAACAGCAATGCACTTTGAGGAACAACCCATTCCCACGGTCTCAGCTTCACTGTTTGCAGCAGATGAGTTTTTCTGCAGAAGGGTCCTCACCCTTCTGAGGAGCACCTCAGACCTGCAGACCCTGCTCTGGTTCCCCACCACAGGGTTCAGTCCATGAGAAAGGAGGCACTACTGAAAGCACTGAAGTCAGGGAGAAATTTTGAAAATTTCTCCCTTTGTCCTCAGATGTGGCAAATGTGTGGCTTTCTGTGCATATGCTCTATTGCTAGCTTGACCAGAAACAGGAAGCATCAGCAATCTCACAAGCAAGTCTGCTCTGCTGAGGTTTGCTGGTCCTTCTCAGACACCCAAAAAGTTGTACTCTTAAACTGTTCTCTGCTTGGCTAAGAAGAATCTATAGAAGCTAATAGTCATAATAAGATAACTCATAATCTTGGTTGATAGAAAAATATGTGTATTATTGGCTTAATTCTGGCTGTTGTTAATTGCTATAGAAAATTTTAATAGGGACTTAAATAGAAGCCAATGCAATACACTTCCATCCAAGCTCACACGGGGGCAGCAAACCAAAATCAGATCAAGTTTAGTATCAGCGATTACAGAGCTGGATGTGAACTTCACCAAAGCTGTGAAGACTTTGAATCCAGGATTGAGATTAGACTTCACCTCCCGTGAAACTGGCCTGAACCCAAACTCCTCAAAGCTCAGATCTGAAAATCAGGTCACAGTTTATCTGACACAGGTGTGTTATTTAGGCTATGCAAGTGCTTACTGAGGGACTTCAGAGTTTTGCATTCACTTCTCTTCTAGTTTTGTTTCATTTTAATTTCTTCAGCACTTCCCAGAGGGGGAAAATATAGTCATTTGGAGAGAAATCCTTTACCATGCCATGGGCCAACCAGGGGCTGTGTCCTACCTAAAAATGCACAGCAGTCCTAAGATCCCACTTGGATCAATAGTGCACCGATCTTCTGCACTCCTCTTATGCACCGAAATTCCTTTGGTGCATAAACAAAGGAGAGAAAACAGCATTCTGCAAAAGCCTCAGCCACTTGCTCATGCTCTTAAATTAATATTCTTGTTTTTCATAATGCTATTAGATACAAAAATATTTGTTTTCAAGCACCCTATCCTGCAGTTAAAGTAAGAAAGGGACCACTCAACACAATTAACCAACCAAAAAGCAAAATAAATAAGAAGACTTTGCTTTTTGGGACCTCTAACCGAGCCTTGCTGACAGGACTTTAAAAAATGGAAGTGATACAACTTGTGTTTGGTGTGAATAGCAAGAGCAAACCTCAAAGCAAAGGCAGCTTCTGCAGGAGGAATAACCGTAAAAATGCAAATTCTGACGAGCAACACTTGTGACAGTAGGAGTTGCACTCAGTGACCTCAAAACCTCTTGCAGCCTCATCTTTTTATGGTTATAATAGGCTCAATTTCAAGAAAGTGTGATGGACTGTGAGGATACAGAATCTTGGAAAAATGTTTTGGAAGAGTGTGTTCTGCAGCAGTGCCCCAACCCCCCAGGGGAGGTCAGCCGAAGTGGTTTAAATTCCCAATTTCTCTTTTCAGTACTGATCCCAGGAGCTTGAAGACTTGGGTGGAGGAGGGTAGAGACCAAAGAAGGACAGCACAGCATGTTCTGAAATTCAGGTGCTTCCAAGGAGATTGAAGGTGGAGAGCCCCCAGAGCCCAACATTTGCTTCAAGGCCAGAGCCTTCAACCCCTTCAGGCTCAGCATCCCCTCTGGGCTGCAAAGGGCTCGCTGCAGGCAGCAACCACCCTTCTCTGTTGTAAGACAAGGATGTTGTACACCATGGGTAAAGTCACCATTTTTTCCTGAGATGCCACATCCTGCAGTATTGGCACACCATTTCCCTTCAGCCATGTCCACAGCATCTAAATTTGGGATCCATATTTCCCTCTATAGCCTGTGTGAAGCAAGAGCCTCCAGGAGGTGAGTCAGAATGCCCAAAATAGCTGCCTGGATAAGACATCATCAACTGCTGAGTGAGTCTTTGCTCAGTCTGGTCACCAGGTCCTCTGTCTCAACAGCTTCATTCAGTTCAAGATAAATAAAAGATTATTTAATCTGTGGATTTGTAATTTATGGACACTTTCTACTGATAATGTATGGACACTTTCTACAGCTTACCACAGAGTGCTGCCCGTGTTTTGAGGCTGTGTGAGGCTCATGGGAAACCCATGGCTCTCCAGCAGAATATGTTTCTAAGGTAAAACACAAACACCACCTGAGCAAGTTGTTAGATTTATGGACACAAAAGAATAAGATTTGCCTGCCTAGGTAAATTTCATTCCTACCAGCACCTATTGCTTGGTCTAGTCCAGAACTGATAGAGGGAGACCAACCTTTTGGAATTAGGTACCAATTCAGTACTTAGGTTTTGAAGCAACTGTTTTCTCATCTAAAACTGTTTAGTAAATATTTGACAATTTTTTTCATTCCTTCAGTTTACTTATTTTTAATTTCCTTGTTTTTCTATTATTCTGCTTCTTCTCTTTGCT